AAGGTTGAAAAACCTTATAAAAGGAAGTATTCCAAAAGAAAGAATTATTCAAAGGAAAAGGATAATTCTAGACAGTATACTAAGCCTAAAAGGAAATATATTCCTAAAGCAAAGGGTAAAGGAAAGCCCAAAGCTGAGGCTAAATGTTTCAAATGTGGACGTATCGACCACTATGCAAACAAGTGCAGAACTAAGGAGAAACTCAGTAGTCTTCATATCGAAGAAGAACTGAGACTTCAATTAAGTAAATTGTTACTTAATACTAGTTCTTCTGAATCAGAATCATCAAGTGATTATGGGGATGTTGTCATGGAATTACAGTCTTCTTCTTCCTCTGAAGCAGGGATTGACAACCCTAGATGTTCCTGTAATCCCTCACATGATGAGTATTATAAGGCAATTGTTGAGATGAATGGATTAAGCTTAAATGTTTTGACTTCGACTCAACAATCCTTATTGGATCTTATAGATCATATCCAGGATCCTCAAATTAAGATGAAAGTCTTTGAAATAGGTTCTGCTCTGGCACGATCTAATGAGGATACGGATAATCCAGATGTTCTGAGAGCAGAAAATCATTACAGCATGAAAGAAGTTCTAAGCAGATTAGAACACCAAGGACAAAATTCTCGTCCTGCTAATCTCCCTGATCTCAGAATGGAGATTAATCTTTTAAAAGAAGAAATTCGTCAATTAAAGTCTCGTCAGACTAAGATGGATTTAGAAATTACTCTTTTAAAAGCAAAATCTGCAATTCCAACTTCATCATCTAATGATGAAGTCCCTCCATCGGAAGGTACTAATTATCTCCAACTCTTGAATCAAGTTACTTACCAAAAATGGTATATCTCTATCAATTTGGTAATTAATCAGGAGTACACAATCACTAATGCAATTGCCTTAGTTGATAGTGGTGCAGACATGAACTGCATACAGGAAGGATTGGTTCCTACTCAATATTTTGAGAAAACCACCCAAGGTCTTACCAGTGCAAGTGGAGGTAAGATGCAGATTAAGTATAAACTTAATCATGTTTTCATTTGTAAATAAGGTATTTGTTTACCATCTACTTTCTTACTCATCAGGAATATGGCACATCAAGTTATTTTGGGTACCCCCTTTTTAGCTTTAATTATGCTAATTGAGAAAATTGATTCTCATGGAATATACTCTAATTTACATGGCCAGTCACTTACTTTCCAGTTCTTGACCCCACCAGTAAACAAGCATATCAATGCTCTTAAAGATAACATTATCTTTAAGGAAAAGCAACTGAATTATTTGCAAAAGGAGGTATCCTCCTTAGCAATTAATCAAAGATTGGTACAACCCACTGAGCAACAGAAAATTGAGTCACTAAGACAAAACTTTCTAAAGGAAATCTGTAGTGAGATACCTAATGCTTTTTGGGCCAGAAAGAAGCATATTGTTTCTTTACCCTATGAAAAGGGATTTACCGATCGCATGATTCCTTCTAAAGCTAGTCCCAGCCACATGAAAGCTGACTACTTGGAATTATGTAAAACTGAAATCAGCTCTTTAATGGCAAAAAAGCTTGTCACTACTAGCTACTCCCCCTGGAGTTGCAGAGCTTTTTATGTCAATAAAAATGCTGAGAAAGAACGAGGAATTCCTCGCTTGGTTATTGATTATCGGCCACTCAATCTTGCTTTGAGTTGGATCCGGTATCCAATTCCCAACATTAAAGATCTTTTAGATAGGTTACAATCTGCTGTAATCTTTTCTAAATTTGATCTTAAATCTGGATATTATCAGGTACAAATTGCAGAAGAAGACAGGTACAAAACAGCTTTTTGTGTACCTTTTGGACAGTATGAATGGACAGTGATGCCATTTGGATTAAAAAATACCCCTTCAGAATTTCAACATATTTTGAATGACATATTTAATCCTTTTACTGAATTTTCTATTGTTTATATTAATGATATTCTCATATTTTCAAAATCCATAGATCAGCATTATAAACATTTGAAAATTTTCAAAGATGTCATTTACCGTAGTGGTTTAGTGGTTTCTGCTCCTAAACTAAAACTGTTTTTAACTAAGGTCAGATTTCTTGGACATGAAATTTATGATGGGAAAATTAGACCTATTAATCGCAGCATTGAGTTTGCTTATATTTATGCATGTGCCTCTGAAGGTCACGAGAAGACAATAACTTAATTATTGTATCCTTAGTGCTTAATTGCATGGTCTGTTCCATGGTCTTGATAGTCCATAGATCAGTTAAATTAAGCATTCCGATTTTGTAAATGCTTTTTGCACTTACTGGAGGGATAGTCCGTCTGTTCAATTTATTTTGAACATTGGTCCATTCCACTACTTCCGTATTTTTTACCAGTTCTGAATCCTGGTTTTCTTGTATTCCTGAAGAGGAGGAAGAAGATGGTTGTAACATGTCTGTTAATTATTGTTAATGCTTTAAGGTCTGCATAGTATAAATATTATAATATTATATAGTGAACAGTAAGTTACTATTCTGTCGTCTTTCTGCTGAAGAGAGATTCTATTACTCGTCTGTCAACGATTTACTGGAAACAATACCCTGTACAGCAATTTAATGCAAAAATGGGTTAAACATTCCAACGCGACTTTTGGACGACCCATAATTGAATCTGGGATAAACATAATATAGACAGAATAATATTCATATTGTTCATTACATAATTACGATAATAATCATGCTACCAGAACTTAAAAAGCATTAACAATAAGAAATTAAGCCTTCAAATATATATTTATTTTCTTCCTATGTAAATTCTTTATTAAAAAAAATTCTTTTCTAACATAAAAATTTCCCTTTAATGGACTTAATTATCGACCTTCTCTGGACATTTAAATTCTTTATTAAAAAAAGTAAAAAAAGTTATTTTCTAATAATCAAATTTCCAATAAAAATTTCCCTTTTATGGACTTAATTCTCGACCGTCTCTGGACATTTATCGTTATCACGTCCTCTTGTCCACCGAAACAAATAGGTGTTTTCGTTCTTATCCCGTTCTTTACGCGTCCACAGATCTCAATCAATAAAATAAAAAAGCGAAGATTGAAAATGACAACTCATGACAGCTCACTATTTTCGTCAACTATTTATGGACACAATTGTAATTTTAACATCTAAGATATTTTTAAGACCCCCACCTACCAAAATATCAACGACAAACACTCGACCTGACTCCACCTAAAATATCTTTCCCCAATGTTTTAACCCGAGTTAGTCAAATAACCTGCTTGTTTGGTTAAAAGCACATCTATATCCTGATTCAATTCTACTATTGTTTTGTATATTCGAATATTCTAACCATGAGATTTGGAGGGAAATATTGTTTCGTAAGGAATTCTAATTTATTCCAAACTGCAAATAGAATCTTATTTAAATTACAATCTATTACCTTTTTTAATATTAATTCCAAATTACTAATAAAGTTGTTATTATCAATTATTGTAACATCCTATTAAAGGATATTATTTTAAAATTAGTAATAAAAATATTTACAAAAATATTGTTACAAAATAAATTAAAAAATAATTTAATTATGAAAAGTACTCCATTACACTTATTTCTTAATAAAGTTACTATTATCAAATATAGTAACATCTTATTCAAAGATATTATTGTAAAATTAGTAATAGAAATATTTTTAAAAAATATTGCTATAGAATAAATTAAAAAATAATTTAAGTATGAAAATATTTATTATAATGTGTTGCCAAATACCTAACATATACGATCTACAATTTTATTTCAATAACAACCCCAAATGAGCTCTAAAACACACAACATAACTAAAGGAGTTTGTTAATAGACTTGAACACTTGATAATAACAAAATCAGTTCAGACTAGTAATAAAATTACGATTTTTGTATATAGTGTTTTGAAATATGTGATATTAATCAATTACTTACATTTTCTCATCATTCACATAATGTCTTTGTCTTTGTCTTTCTCTTTAACTAAGCAACAATAAATTATTATTATTTAGTCTCACTGTGTTTGAAATTCCAGAATTTCATGGGAATTATATTTCAAAAGGAATTTGATTTATTTGGAATTATGGGATTTTAAAAGGAGACAAAAATTGACAAGATTTGAAGGGAAATATGGTAATGTAAGGAATTTTAATTTATTCCAAACTGCAAATAGAATCCTATTTAAATTACTATTTTTTTTCCTTTGCCAATTCTAATTTGAAATCCCAAAAATATATTGGTTCAAACTATACCGTCTATACTAATTTCTTAATAAAGTTGTTATTATTAAATTTGGTAACATTCTATTAAAAGATATTATTGTAAAATTAGTAATAGCAATGTTTAAAAAAATATTGCTACAAAATAAATTAAAAAAATAATTTAATTATGAAAAGTTGCTATTATGAAATATGGTAACATTTTATTAAAGGATACTATTGTAAAATTAGTAATAGAAATGTTTAAAAATATATTGTTACAAAATAAATTTAAACCTAACATGCACCAACCGTGATTTTATTTCAACAGCAACCCCAAACAGGTTCACAAACATTGCTAAACAAGTTTGTTAAAGACTGAAACACTGAATAATAACAAAATCATACAATTTGGGAACGCTTTAACCCTAAATTTTTTATTTTTAAAAATTGAAAAGATACAACAAAAATTAATTTTATTATTTTTTATCCTGACAATTAACATACCCATACAATTTTATCCTCCCCAAAATTTGAACACTCAATCTTTTATTTTTTTATTTATTTGTTTTTTTTTTAAAAATGAGAACTAAACCGGATTATTGGATTACCATGGTTAAAACTTATGATACAATTGGAAAAACTTGCACCTGCAACCAAACAGAACTGAGCTCCATCATAAGCTAAACCTAACCCTAGTTACCCTAAAACCTTGAAAACGGCAAGAGCGCAGTGCGCACACGGATCAACTTAACGAACCCTAGTTAAACCCGGAACACCGCACATACTTCTATATAACACGCCAAGGGCGCCTCTTGTTTTCTCGTGCTTTCATCTCTGTTCTCTCTTTCTTTTTAGGGTTACTTTGTCTCTTAATTTTCCATGGCGGCCGCAGACGTTGAGTTCAGATGTTTCGTCGGTGGTCTCGCTTGGGCCACCACCGACCAATCGCTCGAGGAGGCCTTCTCTCAGTACGGCGATGTTGTCGACTCGAAGGTCCGTTAGGCCATGTCGCAGAGATCGTCTCCGACTTGATTGATCTTTGTTGACCGCTGATCTGTTCTATCATTGATACTCTTCTCTGGTTTTTGTGTTGATCTGTTCTGTCATATATCTCTCTATGTTACTTTATTTGATCTCCTGAAATGGTACGTTCATCTTCTTCTTTGATAAAAGACGAAGATCGATCGAATTTCAGTTTTATGTCGTGTGTATTATGTGTTTTGTTTTGATGATTTTTATCAGATCTGACGTGTTTTGTGGTTTGTCTTGATTTGGTTCAGATCATCAATGATCGCGAGACTGGCAGATCTAGGGGTTTCGGATTCGTGACGTTCAAGGACGAGCAATCGATGAGGGACGCAATCGAGGCGATGAACGGCCAGAACCTCGACGGCCGCAGCATCACCGTCAACGAGGCCCAGTCACGTGGAAGCGGTGGCGGAGGCGGTGGTGGTTTCCGCAGCAACGGTGGTGGTGGTGGACGCCGTGAAGGCGGTGGCGGGTACAGTCGCAGCGGTGGCGGCGGTGGATATGGTGGCGGTGGCAGCGGTGGATACGGCGGTGGCGGTGGATATGGTGGTGGTGGTGGACGGGAACGTGGTTATGGTGGTGGTGAAGGTGGTGGTTCCCGTTACTCTAGGGAAGGCGGTGGTGCTTCAGATCGCAGCTGGAGGAGTTAGATTTTTAGAAGTTAGGGTTAGGATCTCAAGGGTTTGGTTGGTTGGGGTCTCTATGCATCGTTTTGCTTGGATTTGGGTGCTCTCTATGTTATTTTATGGTTATGGTTCTCTCTATGTTCAAGTGTTACCGTCTTTTTTGACCGTTGGTTCTCGGTGTTTTTGGTTTCGAATATGATATGAATGAAAGGTTACTTTTTAGAAATTATATTTGTTATTGTCTGTTATTTGTTGTTTTGATATCTCTGCTTAAACCCTGGATAAAATATTAAAATATTAAATGATGTGCGTGTGTTTATTTATTTATTCAATACCCACTAATTATGTCAATAAAAATCACCCACTAATTATGTCAATAAAAATCCTCTTCAATTCAATTAGTAATAATTAACCGAGGAACTATAAATTAAACTAAAAATACGGCGGGTGAGTTATCAATTCCATATATGGAGTATGTAATTCATACATAGAATCTATCTCAGCGATTCTTTTCTCCGCTAATCACCCCTTCCCAACCAGCCCCAAGCAGCCCGCCGGATCGATCTTGTAAGATCGGCGGCTAATTCGACTCCGACTTTATAATTAAATATTCAGGGTCCCCAAGAGGGTTTAGTTGATCGTTTCATCTTTCGAAATGTGTGGATCCTGTTTCATCTTTCGATCTTTTCCGATTCTTTCGAAAATCCTGTTCATGGAGGATCTCATAGAGGACTGCTAATCTCTGTAAATTTAATTTAATGGATGAATTACCTCTCAATCGTATTGAATCGGGCTATCAAATCAACAGAATTGCCGAATCCAAAATTGGATTCCTGATCCAATCAAGATTTTTAAAATTTATTTTATCATTCTTTTTTGCTTTTCTATAACCCGACGTCTTCCTTTACAATGATGAAGTACCATGAAATGGAAAAAGAAAGGAGTCAAGTTCTAAATTCCATTTTAATGATCTAATTTTCTTGGAAGACAAAGAAGTGTGATAGATGAGTCGGTATAAAAAATATAATATTTCATCAAATTCAATATTTTAGGATTTAATTTGTTCTTTGGATCGGGACCCGAGAAGAAAAAAAAACAAAAAAACTAAGAAGGAAAACTTTTCCATTCGTTAGCTAGGAGTGGTGGGATCCTTTTTTGATCTTTATCTTGCCATTGAATTACAATTGATTATCCAAAATTATCACTTGATCTCGTAATGTGTAATTGTTGTATCACCACCATATTGATCATTTGTCAATTAAACTTTGCTGATGATAAATACCCACCTTAAGCATATTTGTATACTGAATGCTTACTCCCCTCTATTATAACTACTTTGTAAAATTAATTATAAATATATATTATTTAATATTTAAAAATTCATCAAAAAATATGTAATAAAATTAAAATTATAATTTTTTAACTGGAATAAATATATATAAGTAAATATATGGATGCTCTTGCTCTCAAAATTAACTCTTCTTAGATACCAACAAGTCCTTCGTAATAAAGACTCCTCGTAAACGTATCAAATAGATAAAGCTTATCCTATTTCTATTATAAAATCTCTTCTACCAAACGTCTTTTAACAATAATCTTCTACACGTGCATCTTCATTGAACCAACTCAATTCTATTCACGTTAGCACCACATCATCACATGTGATTTGCCAAAATGGGTGTCAACAATGGGAATTTTGAACCATGGTTAAACTAATCATGTGGAATAAGATGGAAAATCAAGTTTTATTTATTCTGAATCACCAAGAGATTCAACTTGATGGAGATTCAATGCCACTAGTAATATACCTAGTACAACGCACCACACGCACTATCTAATAATGCAAAAATTGCATAACACGAGGCATAAGCTATGTAATGACCCCGGAGAACATCCGGGTTATGGCTTCTATAGCGATTTGAAGTTGTTTTTCTAGAGGCTTTTCTTCTTATTATAATAGTCTAGTAAAGTTGCTATGCCAACTATTGTTAGTTTATTCAATGAACAATTGACATTTTTTGATTATTTTATTTATCTCATGATTATTTTTAATGATTAACTTAGTGCTATTTTCTATTCAAGTTTAATGGAGCATGTCCATTTGTGTATTGCCCAAGAAAGTCATCAAGGAAACAAAGAAATGAGGATTTATTTAAGGGGAATTTTACAGTAAAGTGGAAGTAACAAAAGTACAGTACCTATCCATGAACGTAGTTTGCATATTTATAAATACATGAACTAATTTTAGTTTAATAGCTTTTATAAGCTAAAATTATATTTTCGCCCCTAAAGTTAGTTTTATGCATAATCTACCCAAAGAAATAGCACTTAGGAATTGTTACATCTCACAAGAATTAGGAACACAACTCGTAGCCTACAACGAAGAGTAGAAGAGCTTAGATCTAGAATTCTTCGAATACAGAATATTTTAGAAGCTAGAAGACAACTATTTTAGTTAAGTTTATGAATATAATAGATTTTAATAATTTAGATAACTCTATTAAACGACTAGGAGAAAATCTTGATTATATTAAAGAACAAGTAATATAGAATTTTAGTCCAAATAATTTAGATAACAAGATAATATTAGTCGCAATTAAAAATATAAATAGCGACATTAAAACTATTTTTGAAAATAAAAAAATAATTATAGACTATTTAAAATCTCTTAAAACCGATATTCAAGAGCTATTACAATAGTTTTATGAGTATTAGTAGTCTTGATTATCTAACTGCTTTATTCGAACTTTATAAAATCGATAAAAACCTATAGGATTTACAAGTTTTAAAATAGACGTACAATCAACTAATATACATTTTAGACAAAATAACTTTTCAATCCAGTTAATATATTCAAGATTTTCTCCTAGTCGTTTGATAGAATTATCTAAATTATTAAAGTTTATTCAAACCATTTAGTAGCAAATATGTTCAGATGATAGAAGATAGAAAAGTAAGTAGTATTATCCATGAAGGAACAGAATGGAAATTACCTCTGAAAAAGTTAATAAACTTGAAGAAAAATTAGAAGTAATACAAGAAAGTATTCCCAGAGAATCTTCTAAAGAATTATCCGAATTATCCGATAAAATAAAGGGTATAAAGTTATCAACTACTAATCAGTTCTCGCCTGTACCCACCAAGCGTGTAAACTTATTACAACTTCATAAACAAACACCACAATAGCCATTATTCTTAGAAAAGCCAAATAAATAATGAGAGTAGAAGATTTATATGACAATGAACATGATGCTAAAAAATATATAGAGAAAAAAATGAAGAAAGTAAATAATAAAGTCACTCTTTATTCCAATAATTTACTAGATTTTCAGAGCAAGATATATAATCATTTTAGCCAGCAAAGAATAAGTGTGGTTAACAATCAAGTTATTTTAGACCTTATAACACCCGAAGCCTATCAAGAGTTAAATGATAATAATTTAGAACTTATGCATTTAGGTGTCATAATGATAGGATTAGTAGGATTAACCGGAGCTGAAATAGGAACTAGAGCACTTGTTTATATTTATGATGATCAATCAACAAGCACAAATAGCCAGCGCCGAAATAGATTTAGCAGACAATACAGCTATTGTAGGATGTATCCCCAATTATACGACCACTAGAGAATTCAGTAAACATATTAAGATAGCTAATCCACAAAAGGATACAATATGATAGGACAACTTGAAAATCTGTTAGTTAATACTCTATTGATGGGAAAAGTTGTTAATCAAAATAACTTAAATTTTAAAGCTCAATTCAGTGAAATAATTAAACCATTTAGTAGCAAATATGTTCAGATGATAGAAGATAGAAAAGTAAGTAGTATTACCCACGAAGGAACAGAATGGAAATTACCTAATCTTACTACTACAACTAAAAAGATTCCCGAAAGTAATATGATATATGTTAAAAATAGTGGAGAAGCTAGCATACAGTTTAATAATTATAAAAGATAAGATAATTTAGTCGATGATACCCAAGAAGACTTCTTAACTACACTCATTGAAATAAAATCTCCTGAAGAAATAAATGTCCTTTATGATAGACTAGAAGATGAAATTTTAGATAAAATAATGTATGACTTTGATAATCTTGAAGTAGATGATTTGAAAGAGAAATATCTTGAGCCAAATTACCAACTCATAGAAAGCATCTATCCAGGCGAAGGAAATAATGATGATATTAAGAGAAATATATTAAAAGTAGGTTTTGAATCTTTCTACACGAAACACGAACTAAATACACTAAAAGAAGAATTAAACGTAAATGAAGAACAAGTAGAGCATAAAGAAGGAAAACAACCAGAAGGATCTACATCCCAACCTACAGGATCTGTAAATCAAGAAATTTATAATGCAACTAGTAATACCAATAAAACAAATGATGAATATACCATGGGACAAAGACTGCAACCTACACAAGAAACATATGTAGAAAATAGAAACATTTTAGACATGTACACGTGGACACCACATCGTAGACGCTACGATAATATCCTAGCACATGATGCAAGAACCATATTAGATATATCACGACACGATCCCCAAGATTGGTTAAGAGTAATCGACGATTGGGAACAAGATTGTATTAGAATAGCTATTCTAACCCGGTTTGATAATAGAACACAAGCATTAACTTATTATGAAACTCTATTAAGAGGTACAATTCAAAACTAGTGACAATCTTATAAAATTACTTATGTTGATGATTATAACATTTTAAAAGATAATTTTACAATTCAACAGTTTACTAGTTTAATTAAACAGGTATTATTAGGTGAAGACAGACTATTAAAAGAAACCCAAATCAAGCGAAATGAAGCCTTACGTAATCTAGAGCTATTTCAAATTTGCGATTTTCGATATATAAGAGACTACACCAATAAGTTTTTTGAATATTTTGCCATTACAGGAAAAACTGGAGACCGAATCTTATTTGATAGATATCTTCAGAAATTACCTGAAAGTGTAGGAACTAAGATTTGGGAAAAATGGTTAGAAAATCCTTGAAGGGATTGATTAACTATAGGAGACAGAGTTAACCATGTCTATGACATGTTAAAAAAGGAGTGCAGACAATGTAGAGAGTCTAAACAAATTAAGAAACAATTTTTTGATGTATGTAAGCAATTAGATGTACCTCCACAATTGTGATGACCCTGTTGGCGGGTGTGCCGTGGGCGGGTGTGAGACACTGACAGGCTACCATACTGGCGAGCTACAG